GAAGCAAGGTGACATCCCCTCAATGGTGACACCCACCACGAAAAAGCTTTGGTTCTGTTCTTCTGAGGAAACCTTGACGTTTCCTCACATCACGCAGTCAACAGCAGTCTCGGCCACTCCTGGCAAACCCCAGCTGGCTGTGACTCTGCTCGGACACTGGATGCATCCCTGCTGCCATCACTGCCGTGAGCTTGAGCCCCCACCTTGTCTTGTCCCCCCCCAGCTCCCCGGGGTACCCCAGCTGCCGCCTGCGGAGAGGAATAAATCACAGCGTGAGGGGCTACGCGCTGGGAGCAGGGGAACAAAATGGCTTTTCATGCCATAATCCTTTGTAATAAAGCACCGGGGTGGGGGGGGGGGGGGGAACAATGTCTCCTGTGTGAGCCAGCTGCTTCCTAAAATAAAGTGCTCCTCTCTACCATCAGCTGCCCCGGATGGGGCACAAGTGTGGGTGCTGCCGCAGGACACCGGAGATGCATCCCCCTGAGGGACCACATGCTCCTGGGGCCCGTGGGAATCTGCAGAATGCAACTTTGGGGAAGGGGAGGTGGGGGAAGAAATGAGGAATTAATTCTGGCTACTCTGGGGAAGGAGCTGTGAGCTCCCCCCCCCTCCGAAAGGCTCGTCCCCCCCAGGCGCCAGCAGCACGGCGTGTGGCTCGGCGAAGGCACGCGGAGAAGCTGCTCCCACCTGCGCCCCACGCCAGCAACAAATGTGGGAAGCACTGTGTGTGTGTGTGTGTGTGTGTGTGTGTGTTCAGTGCATTAACTCCCCAGCTTCTTTTAGAGCTGGGTGCTGGCAGGTCCTTGCCAGGGCTCTGGAGGAGGGGGCAGGAAGCTCTGAGCACTCCTGGTTGATCATTCTTGGAGCAGAGTCCTCGCTGGCCAGGGATGAGTAAGCTCCTGCCGGTAAACCTGACCTCCCGGGCATTATTTCCAGAGCAGCAATAACTTCTCTGCTGCTGGGGAAGGTGTGATGAGTGTGGCAGCCTGGCTCTGCTGGCCACCACGTAGCCCACAAGCGAGTTTGCCTGTGCCAGTGTCCGGAGATGCCTGGCTCACTGTGGTAGTACTGGTCAGGGACAGTGGCTTTCTTGCCCCACGGCCACCAGGGCTCTCTGGCACCGTTTTGCTTCCCACCTCAGGATGGGGACAGTTTGCCTGCTAATCCTCCCCCTGGGTCACTGAGTGTCCCTGGGGGACGGTCTGACCCACAGCACCATATCGCACCCACTCTCCCAACCCATGGTGGCCTCCCATCAGCTCCATTCCCAAAGGACCACGGTCACCAGCTCACACAACACTTTCATTTCCCCGTTGCTGCTCAGCCTCTTCTGCTTTCCCTTCTTACAGCCAAAAATGTCACTATCCCCATGCACGCACACGTGTATCCTCCCCAACAACTCCTGGCAGAGGTTTTTCCCTGGCAGATCATGCTTGCTGCCCCCTCGTCCCTCCTCTCCACCCCTGCCAAGGTGAGGTTTGGGCTCTGCACTTGGCAGTGTGTCCACCCAGGCAGGGGACCTGGAAGGGAAAGGCTTCCCTGAGTGTCACTGAAGCGGTGACATGTTTTTCCCCGGGGATGTGGGGAGCTGTGGTGGGGGGAGGACCCACACATCAGGGAGCTGCAGTGTCTGCCCGGCCACACCATTTGCTCCAGTGACAAACCCACACCTTCCAAGGGGAAGTTTGCTTGGACCGACCACGCTGCGGGCTGGGGCTGGCAATTTCCCCACCATCCAAACCCAGGCTTTGCCCCAGGCCCTGGTCACCACCACTTCTTGGCTGTCACCACCTTCTGCCTCAGCTCCAGGGGCTGCCAGATGGAGAGTGGCCAAGGGAAAACCCTGGCGAGCAAAAACCTCCCTTGCACTGGTTGATCCCTGCTGGAAACCGGCTGCTGGATGAGCAGAGGGTGCCGGCAGCCTGGCAGGGGGTGCACAGCCGGGAGAAGGGGGACACCAGGGTGCCCAGAACACGGCCATGCACCGGCTGACTCCGGCTCCTCCTCCAAGAGATGGGATTATGATCCTCCACACACGTGTGTGTGGGGCCAAATCCTCTCCTGGCTGAGTCAGAGGGGACGGAGCCGGGGCAGACGCCCATCCCAGCCACAAGCCCTGATCTGAATTCACCTCGTGCCGCTGATCATCAGGTATTTGCCCAAATTCCTCCTGCCGGTGACTCAGCCTCCTCCTCCCTCCTCCACAGCGCCGGCCACGGCTCACCACCCCATCGAGCCACGGGAGGAAACCGCCCCAAGAACAACAGGATGGCTTCCAGCCGAGGAGAGGAATGGGTATGGCCAGGAGGAGCTGACATATAGGACTTCCCTGGTTGCCCAGTGAAAAAAGGTGACATCAAGCCTTGCCAAGCTCCCAGGATGGCATCCTCTGTCCATGGGTGGCTGCTGAAGCCACCACGTTTCTAGGGGACATCAGCCTGGCAGGCATCCTGGCCTCCCACACCGCTGGCAGCCGCGTGCCCATGCGTGGCCGGGGGGAAAAAGGGAAGGTCTAGGTCAGGCAGGGAGGGAAAGCGTCGATATAAAGGGCTTTTCTGTAATGGCTCTCCCCTTACCGGCTAATCCTCTGCTGGCAACAGGGACATTTTGGGCACTGGGTTGCAAAACAGCTTTCCCTTTATCCTCAGACCTGATAATACAGGGTTTGGGCAATGTGTCTGGTACTTCCCTGTGCACTGTTCTGGCAGGGATATGGTGGGAGAAGTGCCTGGGCTGCCCTCATTTTGGGTGCACACAGCCCCATTGCCCGTGCGACCCACCGAGATGGGGTTACTGGGGCTGGGGAGCTGCCTCCAGCTCCAAATGGTGTGCCAGGAGTGGTTTCCTTGGGGCACAGACCCAGGACTTCACCCCATGTTTAAACCCACATGGCTGCATCCCCCTGATGGCCACAGTGAAAAAGCAACCCAAACCTGGCAAAGTCCTCACCCCACAGCTGCCCGGGATGCAGCAAGGTGGTCCCATGGGCTGGTTCCACAGGCTCGGGACAAACACTGGGGTGTCACCAGGTCCTGGTACCAGCAACCCTGCAGTTTGGGGGAGCTACAGCCCTCAACCCAGCTGGCAAGCCGGTGGATCCCATAGAAAAGGGGTGCATGATGCCCTGGCACCCCTGGACCAAGTCTCTGCTGCCCCATGTGCAGCACAGGGTGAAGGAGAGGGCTTTGTGAGCACAGCGGTGGCAGGGATGGGACACTCCTGCTGTCACCTTGCAGAGGTCTGAGTGACTCAGGGAGAGATAAGCCGACCTGGTGGTTTTCCATGCCCGTGGAGTGGCCCATCACAGCACGGCAAAGAGTGTGAGGGATGGAGGGGTACTGGGATGGTGTCAGGAGCACCCAGCGTGCCACCAAGACCTCCCTGTCCCCAGAAGCCCCACTGAGGAGAAGACATCCGCTCTGCCATTTTGTGTTTCCATCCCCAAAGCTTCCCTTGGTTCAGCTCACGCTCTGGCTTGTGGGGAAAGGGGCTCAGGTTGGCTTTACCTCTGGATTTGATCCGACTCCCAGCCCGGGCGCATCGAGTGGCCAAGGGATTGCAAAGCCTCTCTGCAGGAAGGGGAAATGCTGAAGCAGCAAGAAGCTGCTTGACCTTTAGTGGTCTGTGAGCCCTGCCTGTGGCTCCCAAGCCCAGCGCTTGCTGACGAGACCTTTTCTACCTTCTGCTTTCACAGAAGGGTCTGATGGTCCCCCTCCCCAGAAGAAGGCTGAGCCTGCCCCTGCCCAGCCAGAGAAACCACCCCGAGAAGGAACAAGCCCTGCCAGGGTGATGAGTGGCTGCTGCCACCCCTGCTGTTGGCACTGGGAGAAGGATTCCCATGTCCAGGAACATCAGGGTGGTGTGGAGGCACAACCACCCTGGCATGTGCTGAACTTCCCAGTGCTCAGCCCAGCCTAGCAGCAGCCCCAGCTGGGCCTCATCAGGGTTGCTCCCCACCGCCCTCACCCCATGGAAAACCCCACACCCTGCCCTGAAAGCACAAAACCACCAACCTCTTACCTTCAGCTCTTTCGATTCTGCTTTTCAAGAGGTGAAGGAGGCAGTCGCAGCGTTATTTGCAGCCCTTGGCAGGCAGCGTGGGTGGAGGTACGAGGCAGATAGGCACCGTGTCCAGACAGGCACAACAGCCCCGTGTTTGTCTCCAGTTGACCGGGTTTACTGGCCAAAACTGTTAGCTGGCAAGTCTGCCTCCACCTCCTCCACAAACAGCCCGCTCGGTGACCCTGCAAGGCCAGGTGGAGGTGAGGAAATCCTGGCAGTGCCCAGGAAGCCTGGAGGAGAAGACCTGGAGGCACCATCAGAGCCCAGCTCCCCCTTTCCCATGCTGTGCTGGAGGACACAGGGATCTCCACTCCTGCAAGACAGGGCTGGGATCAGCCTAGAAGGTATCCAAGGGGTCTACTGCATTAATCCATCCTTACAAGGCTGCAAAAACCTCCATCCACCAAGGCTGGGGGTGGAGATTGGCTCAAGGTGAAGAAAAGGGCTGTCTGTGCCAGGCAGCGAGGGGAGAGCTCTGCTCTGAGAGCCTGGTGGACAGAGCCAACCTGGCCACCGCGCCAGCAGGACCAGGGCCAGGATCCACATTGCCAGCACGAGCACCTCCAGCCATGCAGGTGGAAGAGCCAGCCCAGCTCCACAAGTGATGTTTTTTAGGCAGGGGACACCACCCTCTTCGAAGCAGGAGGCTCAGCCTTCAGGTGGGCAGGAAGACCCACTGAGAAACCAATAGGGTGGTGGGATTGCTGGTAGAACACAGTGGCCTCAGCAAGCTGAGACCCCAGCACCACACCAGCTCTAGTCTCCCCCAGGCCACCAAAAACCAAGCCCTTCACACACACCAGGCTGGACTCACCCAGCAGGGAACCATCCCATACAGCCCCTTTGAGCAACACCAAACTACCAACCCTGCTCCAGCACCAGGCAGAGACCTTTCCACCCTCCAGGCTGCCAGAGAAGAAGCCACAAGCCATAGGTAGGTCGTTAACATTTTTTATTTTATAATAAACTTCTCATTTTTTTCCCCCAAGGAAGACAAAAAAAAACCCAAAACACAACCTGTGAGGCTACAGAACACCATCAGTGAAGAACATGAGAGACAGCCCCAGGTCAGGCCAGAAAGGGTCCCCACTCCCCCAGGCAGAAGGGGTCTGTCCCCAGGAGCCTCCGTAGCCCTTGCTCATCTCCCCACGGCGTTGGGGCAAGATCAGAGCAGGATCAACGGGGAGTCGACCGAGTGGCAGAGACAGGGTTGGGTCAGGCCATTGATGGGACTGTGAGGGCCACCCTTTGTTACCCCCCCACCCGCCAAAGCTGCCAGCAAGGTGGGACAGCGGGTGAGGTGATGCAGCTGTTTTCTATACACGTACATGATGGAAATTTTTTTTTTTTTAAAAAAACCAAAACCACAACACATGATTTAATTCAAAGCAGAAAAAAAAAAAAATAAATCAAGTGGTAGCTCTTCCTGCCAGGCCATCTCGCTCTAGGAAGACTTCACACATTCCTTCTCCTGCTCAATAGCTGCAAGAGAAGAGAGGTCAATTAGTCTCTGGCGCTTTTGTGGCTTTTTTTTTTTTGGTGGATACACCCCCTGGAGAAGGTTGCAGAGCAATCACTCAGCCCCCAGGTTTATGCTTTGGCCCCAAGGCGGGTAGACAACTTCAAGTCAGAGGGTGATGTGACACACACGTTGGTGACAGCGAGTTGGGCACCTGCCTTCAGCTCTCCTCAGGGAAGCCATATCCTGAGGGAACAGCTCAGAACCACGTCCCTCCACAGGGGATGCTGCCCACTGTCCTGGGATGGAGGGGGGGCAAACCCCAACCCTTCTCTTATCAGTTGGGAGGTCCATGGGGACCTGCCTTCCCTGGATCAGAGCCCCAGCTGCCCCAAACCACTTGGGCAGTGAGATCACCACCCAAAGACACCCACTGTGACCCATGTGGACCCCCCCATTGTGTGGTCCCCCCCAAAAACCAAACCCTGGGGCCCCTCCCTGGGCTGCACTCACTCTCCTTGGAGGGCAGCGTGTTCTTCTCCTCCGTGTTGGTCTTTTTCAGCTTCTTCTTGTCGAATTTCTCCACCTCCGAGAGGTCCGGCTTGTCGCACATTTTGCCTGCAAGACCCCCCCGTCCCCCCGAGGTCACCCCATGTCCCCGGGGATGGGGAGCGGGCAGACAAAGGCGACCCGCCCCGGTGTGTGTCGTCCCCCCCCCAACACGCCATCCCCATCCCCGGCCCCGCCGCGGACAATAGCGCAGGGCGGGGCGCGCC